GGAGGCCTCTTGGGGCCTCCTGGAGCTCTTTGGGAGGGGTCTGGGAGGAATCTTGGGGTCATCTGTCGGGCGATCGATCACAGATGGGGCGAGCATTTTTCTGCCCCCCCCCCGTCGGGGCCAGAATCCTCGTGAGGGGTGTCGAATTTTAGCCCTCCCAAGAGTCGAAAAAGACCCCTCCAACCACCCGCGAAACGCCCTCTCCAGGCCCAGGGGGAGGGGGTAGGGGGAGGGGTAAACCCCTCCCCGAAGGGGAAGAAGGGGGGTTGAGAACAGAGAGAGCTCGCTAAACCACTCACGCCCAAAGGGCTGGTGGGATTGATCAACATCGTGCAAGTACTCGCGGATGATGGAATCGAAGGCCTTGGCAAGGTTAAGAAAGAAAAAATAATGCCCATGACGTGCGCGTGGTAAGGTTTCTCTCGACAAACTTTTGCAGCGCAGTAGTGAGGAGAGTGGCATCTCTCCCTGGTACAGAGCCGCATTGTGCAGGGCCAAGACAGTCGTGTACATGTTGGAAGACGGGCTCGGCGATTGATGCGCAGTACCACTTCGAGAGATGAGTCGCAGTTCGCGGGGTCGCCTTTCTGCTTCCAGTTGTCGAACACTTGCCGCTTTCATGGCCAGATGTGCCGTCGCCGCCGAGGTGGCCAAGTTGATCAGGGGCATGACTACGTCAAGCGTGCCCTCTCTCACAGCGTGCCACACCTCAGCGCCAATGCCATCTGGCCCATGTCCTTTTTTGGGATGAACCCACGAAAGTTGCCGCGCGGGCATTGCTGCGCGCGGGCAGCGACCTCGCTCATAGGGGGGATCTGGCCGGCGAACAAGGGCGCCCAGTGGCGCTTCCACCTTGAGGAGATCTGACCAGGATCGTTCAGCGAGCGGCCCTGCTCGTCGTTGACCTTCGCGCGCTTCCGGAAACCCCGGGGCGTCCGAATCTGGCGGGAGATGCCGAACAGAGCCTCGGTGTTGCCATCTCGGTCTGCGACGTCCGCCTGCCTTGCCGGGCCCTCTGCCCAGGTCTGCCGATCGGCCCAAGTTAGCGCCCTCGTAGCATTGCGGTGCGACGACAGGGGGGCAGAGGACTGAGCCGCCCTCCTGCGGGCGGCCGTGATGGACCCACGTAGAGCGGCATACTCGGGCGAAGCAGGACTGCGCAGATGACCTGCCCATGCTTGAAGCCCTCGTTGGAGTAGGAGGCGCTGTGCCTGCTGCCAGCCCCAGACTGCCAAGTTCCTGATGCCCGGGGTGTTCTTGATGAGAGCCCATTTCGTCGAAGAGATCCAGGGCTTCTTGGGAATTTGTGACCCTGGCGCGAAGAAGTGCTCGCGTTGGAGGTCCTGGACGTGCTCGATCATCTGAGCGTGGTAGACGTCGGGGCCCTGAGTGACGTTGTGCTGGAGCTCGCCTGCGAGGGCGAACATGTCCGCTTTGTAGGCCCGGCGTACTTTGGGGTCGTGCAGCTTCTCCGATGACATCTTGAGGCTGGGGGCAGGCCTCGGACCCAGCGACTGGTCCAAGGCGACCGTGGCCTTGACTACCCGGCGGCCCTCCCGTTCGGAGAAGCACAGCGAATCCTGCGGGGCGCTCGTGGCGTGCAGCTTGCGGTGCCAGTGGGGGCCGAGCCAGACGTGGTCGCTGCGCTTCTCGTGGCCTGGGATCCCGAAACAGGAGGGCTCCATGGCGCCGCTTAACTCGGCGGCGTCCTGGAGGTCGTGCGCCAGGCCGCGCTCGGGGGCGAACTGGTAGTTGGAGTTGACGCCGGCTGCCTCTTTGTCGTCCTTGCCATCGATGACGGCGACCGGGGCGCGCTTGTGCACTGCAGTGAGGGATGCCCAGAAGGCGCGCTTCTCTTCCGCGGGCGCTGATGCCACCGGGGCGTGCGCCGAGATGGCTGTCAACGTGAGGCCTGCTGCAGAGAGCTGTGTGCGTGGCAGACGGGGGCTGACTGCATCGCAGCCGCCGTGCTGGCCAAGACCTTGAGGTCCTTATGAAGCCAGATCTGCACTCCCCCCAACCCGTCGTCAGTGGAGGGGGCGGAGAAGGCGAAATAATGGTCCAGATCTTGACAGCCAGAATCGGGGAGACGCGACTCCTGGATGCCTGCCAACTGGATGTGATGCTCGTTGAAGAAGTCCTCAACGTAGTGCGTGCGAGCGGTGACGCTCTCGCCAATGCGGCGTAGCTGCCAGCGCTCTTCGGATCCAGTGTCTGGACATTGAAGGTGGCAAGAATGAGCTGAGCTCCGTTGCGAGCTCTCTTGTCACAATGTCTCTGCCTTTTCGAAGGAGCACTGTTGTGAACGTGGAGATCTTGATGGTGAAGCGCGAGGTCGGGAATGTAGTGGTACTGGTTCGCCCCCATGGCGAAGTTCACCCGTAGTTTTCGCAACCACGTCGGCAAAAGGCACCTGTGGGCGGGCTGATGCTGATCCCCGTGCTGCTGACGATGGTGGCGTTTCGGGATATGGCGAGTACCTTTGCTCGGGGCCCTGGCT